ATTGTTCTGAATTTGCCACTAATGTAACATATTCATTATTTTCCTATTTTGTCTTACTATGTACTGGGTATGACAACTAGAGGAAAACATGTAATTGCCCATAGCAACTAACTTAAAGCACATAATTTTTTTAACCAGGACAGAAATTAAAATGAAAACTGATTAGGGGTAGTGATCAAGAAGCAGCAGAAAATCTGGCTTTTGCCCCCTACACTCCACTGAAACCGCCCTCCTAAAACTCACTAATGACTTACTAACAGCAAAAAACAATGGCCACTACTCCTTACTCTTGCTATTAGACCTTTCTGCTGCTTTTGACACTGTTGACCACCTGCTTCTCCTCAAAAAACTCTGGTCACTTGGGCTACAAGTCTCTGCTCTTTCATGGTTCTCCGCCTACCTATCTAAGCGCTCCTTTAGCGTCACCTACAACTATAACTCCTCCCCTCCTCTTCCTCTTTCTGTAGGGGTCCCCCAAGGCTCTGTCCTTGGACCCCTTCTCTTCTCTATCTACACCTCCTCTCTTGGTCAATTAGTAACCTCACATGGCTTGAGGCTTCCAATACCATCTCTATGCCGATGACCAGGGGCGTATCTGCCGCGACGCAAACAAGGCGTTTGCCTCGAGCGGCAGATTCCGGCAGGGCGGCAGATGTACCGGCCCGGTGCCCTACCTAAATACACCACTGCCGATGACACTCAAATATATCTTTCTACTCCACAACTCTCCCCCTCAGTGTCCTTGCGTGTCACTAATCTACTAACTGACATATCCGTCTGGATGTCGCAGCAACACTTCTTAAAACTCAACCTTTCAAAAACTGAGCTCTTGATATTTCCTCCTGCCCGTGCACCTTCTCCCGTCTTTTCTCTTGAGATTAACACAACTATCCAACCCTCCTCCCATGCCAAGGTGCTAGGTGTCATCCTTGACTCTGATCTCACCTTTCTTCCCCACATCCAATTACTATCCAGATCCTGCGGTATTCACCTTCATAACATCTCCAAAATACGCCCCTTCCTCACCAAAGAAAAAATGACTCATCCCCTAGCCTGTTATATCTCGTCTTGACTATTGCAACTGCCTCCTCATTGGCCTTCCACTACACAGGATATCCCCCCTTCAGTCTATCATGAATGCAGCTGCCAGATTCCTCCACCTGACCAACCGCTCAGCGTCTTGGTCCCCCCTCTGTCAATCCCTGCACTGGCTTCCAATAGCCCAAAGGATAAAATTCTAAATATTAACAATCACTTACAAAGCCATCCACAACTCTGCCCCCGGCTATATCTCAAACCTTGTCTCAAAGTATCACCCTAACCGTCTCCTCCGCACCTGCTTTCTAGCTCCCTTGTCAACTCCTCCCATGCTCGCCTCCAGGACGTCTGTAGAGTCTCTCCCATCCTCTGGAACTCTTTACCCCAACCTGTCCGTCTATCTCCCACCTTGACTACCTTTAGGCATTCCCTAAAGACTCATCTCTTCAGGGAAGCCTATCTCACCTCAACCTAACTACTCAGCCATCACGTTCTCATCCCCACTCCTCCACTACCTCCTCATGTATCACTTCCCCCTCCCTTTTAGATTGTAAGACCTCGGGGGCAGGGCCCTCCTCACCATCTTGTCTTGAATTGTATTGTGATTGTAATGTCTTCCTTATTGTAAAGCGCTGCACAAACTGTTGGCGCTATATAAATCATGTATAATAATAATAATAAAGAAGAGGCGCAGAAAGCACAGTTCCACAAAATGAATGAAGTAGAAACAGCATTAAGCTTTACGGTGGTATTAGTCTGAAGGTTTTTAAGCTATTTACAAATGCTGATTAAATCACTTACAATGCATGCTGCTTCTTGATGTTTAGGAGTCTTATCTTCCTGCAGAATCAGCTGGTCCCCTGAGCACTGGCCCTGATCTCCTGTTTTAAGTTGGCTCCTTTCCCTTGCAGGGTCCTATGGAGCCACCCTTGTGTGTGCTAGTAAGGGATGTGTGTGTGTCTAAAAACACACAGGCACAACAGGGCAAGCCACTTCCCTGCTCCCCCCCCTCCCTTCCCCCTTCTCTCTTCTCTAAGCTAGTATATAGACAGCTGCTGGAGACTGTGCTGTCCCCTTGTGATCTTGTACTGGACAGGAAATTCAGGGAAGTCGAGCTGAGAGAGCTGGAGCCAAATGTTCAGAGAACAAGTGAGCTGTTCAGTTGGAATCCATTTAAAAAAAACTGTGTCATTGAACTCTACATGTTCCTGCTTCTACCAATGGCTGACATGTTGCAGCTACAGGTAACACAATTTTCCTTACCTCTAGGATTTCCACCTTCACTCTCTAGAACCTAGAACGTTATCGATCAAGGTAGCCTGTATTGTCACAAGAGGTTTTATGTTTTAAAATTGTTCATATAATGTGGATTAAGCCACCATCAGCGCCAATCTGCTTCCAACTGTAATTGTTTTTCAGTGCAGAGTTCAGAATTAGAAAATGATTCTGGTTGGTTTTGTGTTTTTACACTTTCACATACATAGACCCAAAAAGGAGATGCCATTCCACAGGAGGCATCATGCTACTCTCCAAAAAAGCAGGGCTCATTTAAACCACGTTTTTAATAATTGGATCTTTTAAAGAATTTAATTGACCTTCATGACAATATGCTAAAATATTACCTTATATATTTGGAAATATTTTCTATACAGCCTGAGTATACCTTTTTTCATTTGGGGTTGAGGTGAACCCTAGGGTTCTTCCAGAGCTTGCTTGGGGTTCTGTGAGCAGGGGCAAATTGATCTCCTGCTTGACAGTGCCTGAATAGTTCTGACACAACCTTTACTTAGCATAACCAGTGTCACTGGACCACTGGGGTCTCTCCTCTTGTCTCTAGAGTAAGTAACAACTGACACAAATTCTATTTTTAGTTGTCAGGAGGCATTCTGTCAACTGGCAACTGATGTAAGGGACATTCATCCCACTGGCCACCAATGTAAAGGGCATTTTGCCCACAGACCACCAATGTAAGGGTAATTCTGCCCACAGACTGCCAATGTAATGGGTATTCTGCCCATTGACACCCAGTGATACGGGTGATATTTTCCACTAATGTTGAGTATAAAGGGGGCCCTTCTCCAGCTGACTACCAATGTAATAGGGCCCTTTTCCACTGGCCACCAATTAAAGGGACCCTTCTCTAATGACTAACAAGGTAAAGGAGTCATTACTGTGGTTATGGTGGTAGGAATTGCATTTTAAAGTGCAAGCTCATCGTTATGTTATTTAGTACCAGCAACCTATATGCTGTTCAATGCTCATTCCCTCCACTTTATTTTTCTCTTTATTTGTCTCAGTGAGAAGATTTCCCTTCACTTCCTGTCCTGTATACTCAAGGGGAAGTGTTAGGTTATATTTCCTATGGGCGGGGAATCCCCTTTTACACAGTTGTCACAGGAACAAGTGTCCCCATTGGAAGATTTCCCTTCTATTCCTGTTCTGGCAGCAACCAAACATTTTGGACTTACCCTCACTTTTAATCCCAGTGACATTGGTGATCAGGACATTAAGAGGAGTATTTATCTCTAACAGAGATACAAACATCAACAGCAACCATTGATTCTAACCCCTCTGCACTCTATACAAATACAAAATAAATAAATAGATTTTTAGATATATTTTTGCTTTTCTATATCTTTCTTTTTCCTTTTTTTTTTAAAGTGGATTAGTTAAAAATAAAATTCCAAACAAAGCCTGCTCTGTTCAGACAGGGCCATAAGGAAAGTCAATTAGTGAGAGGAGGTCACAAAAGGCTACTGCTGTGCTCTATCCTTAGAAAACTCAGAATAGTCTGCAAACCCAATGTCATGGGTGTGCACTGTGCTAAATGTTTGTTTATTTATACATTTTTCCAGTATAGGTTTGGCTCTGATTTGCTGCTATAGGCCAACAGTTTGATAAATTATGTTTTGTCTATGGGAATATTTTTTCAGCCAAAGTTTGAGAGCATTGGTATTGGCAGACCTTGAATATGTTGGATTAGACACAATGGTTTCTTCAAAATACTATATTGTTAAAACATTATAGGTAATGAAATAGGTCATGATTAGCAGGAAAACTGGACTGGAATTCTATCACTGAGTGCAAACGTAAGTGCTGACAGTTATTGCAGACATTATAATGAACACTGATATGCTTGTGAATGGAGCCGTACCAGTATAATGTACTGGATTAGTAGTAATCCCCATTATGATCATGCTGCCACCAAAGTCTATATCCCTGCCACAGGTCTCCTATGCCCATTCTTCGTCTCTGCAACAACTGAAGATTCAAGGTGCTTACTTATTAAACTAAATTATTTTTTCATTTCTCAATACATTTTAAAAAGGCCAGAAAACAGATGATAAACCTGATGCAGACATTTTATTTTATTATAAACTGGTCATTACTGGAAACCAGGGAGATTTCCATGGACTGACATTGCAAAAGACACCTCTTAATAGACTGGTTCTGAAGATGAGTTTTCCACGACTGTCATCCCTATCCTTTTGATGACACACTGACCTGGAGCAAACATTTTGCAATATCAGCTCCTGCATTTCACTTCTGACAGATTACCTTTAATAGAGAGATGTAGAGTTGAAATGATACATTTACTGGCTGCTGGAAAAATTTGGGATGGGTATACCACATGAAATCAAGATGCATGGGCAGTCTTAAAAGCTTGTAATATTAAACTCCTTAGGCAATAAAAGGTATCATTATAAAGCTACATCCTCTGTTTCTCTTGATGAATAACAGTGTACATTACTGCTACTAATAGCAACCACCAGTGTAGACCCTCAGTGATAAGCCTGGTGCTTCCTCCCCTCAAAGCCCACTCTGGACTCCCTCTCTATTCCATGAGGGTGGACTTAGCTGATGTCTTCTTTTTGTTTATGGTGCACTATGTATTGATAGACTATGTGATGCTATAGCAAATTCTACTCCACTTATAATTTCTGCTTATGTTTGATTTATAGGAGGATGTGGTGGTCCTACAATGCAGCGCTACATTTCGAAAAGAAAACCTTAAGATGTGCATGGGAGTGGAAGGCTTCGGCAATCGCCTCTGCTTCCTGGAATCAACGTCCAATGCTCAGGTAACATTAATATAAAAAAAATTAAAGAAAATGTATTCAAAATCCATTTTTAGCCAAAACATCTTATTTCATAGTGTGCATGGAAGGGTTAGATCCTCTCTTCCACGGGCACACAGACAAAAACACATTTTTATGAGGCCATAGGAAGGATTAGAATGGCTGAAAAATGTTTTTCTCTTGTTCTTTTCTATCATGGTGACAATTGCTCCCTCTGATTCTTTTTCTGGTGTCCCAGGAACAGTAAGTGAGATAAAACGTCAGCATTGCAGTCACAAGCAGAAATAAAGTCCTGACAGAATTTTTTTACCTTCTCTTCCTCTATCTAAAATTAAAAAAAACTTTGTCTAAAGTTGAGATAGATAGAAAAACCCTCCACACACCTCACAGCATTCCCGGCCTATGCAAAAATGGTGCTCGCAATGATGACCACGGTTGACGCTGTGCAGATGCAGAGTAGAGACAAGGATCACCAGCACTCAGCAATATCTTTTCAATATGTCCATTTAATTGGACAAAGCGTCCAATGTGTCACATCTTCTTCGCCCTGAGGAAGGGACCCTGTGTGGCCCCGAAACGTTGGCATTTGTTATTGTGACGCTTTGTCCAATTAAATGGACATATTGAAAGATAGTGCTGAGTGCTGGTGATCCTTGTCTCTACTTTGTCTAAAGTTGAGCTTTAAAAATGAAGCCCCAGCTACTACCTAAAATATGAAACTTTGCTATCTAAGCAATTTATTGTAGAGACGAGTGTTTATTTTCTTTTTTCTTTGTCCTGCCTTATTCCTTATTCTGTTCTTCCTTTCTATTGCCCATTTTCTTTACCTAACAACATGTCTTTATGTATCTCCTCTTCCAGAATGTACCTCCAGATCTTGCAATTTGCTGCTTTATTCTGGAGCAGTCTCTGTCAGTTCGAGCCCTGCAGGAAATGCTGGCGAATAATGTGGAGATGGGAAATGAGGTACGGTTCATGATTTCCACTGCCTGACCTACAACCTGCATCGTGTTTGCCTTCCATTTGTCTGTTGTCATAATTGCTTTGCCGTTGCACCATATCCAAAATTTGCTCCACTGCTACAATTCATTCTAGGAAGTCTTCATGGAATACCTTGTTCAATAAACTCACATTTTTGTATTACCAGGTTTCTTTTTACGGATATGTACTATCTTTCTTTTTCCTCCTTCCTACGTTTTTATGTTTTTTTTTCTTTGTGTATTGTACATTGCCAAGAATCTTTAAATGCTTGTAAATTGTAATCATGATTAAAGTGCTGCATCCATATTCTGCTTGCCAAATCTTGTCAACTGCTTCTAAAAGCAGATCTGACCTGATGCCACTGATGTCTACACTTTGTTGTGTAAAATCTTCTGGTAAAAGTATCCTGGTTTTCTGGTATCCCCCATTACTGTCTCTACAGGTCAGGAATTCTCCAGTCTTTCTGCATTGTAATCAAGTACAATCCTGACTGTTCAGAAAGACTTCAAAGAAAACTTGTGCCTAGGCAGTGCATCAGGTTTACTTTAATGGTGACCCCCACCAGCAGCTTATAGTTGCCTTCCCTTCACTCCCCCAATGTTCAGCTCTAAGAAGTGAAGAGGGTAACCTGGTTCTTCTGGGCTTGGGGAGAATTTGACTCACTGCTTTTTCTCTTACCTCACACCATTGGTACTTGTATCAGTACTCAGGCACCCAGCACTGTCACAAGGGAGAGACTCACCAGCCTCTGTAGGCTACAAGTTGTGACTTTGACCCTACACAGGGCTAATTCTCTTTACTCCCAGTGGTCAAATAGAATGGCTGGGGAATGAAGAGAAGGTAAGAATAAGTACCAGCAGGGGCCACCATTAAAGCCTGTTGTATGGGCCACAGTTTTATGCCCTCTGACCACACTGCACCTTACAGAAATAAAAATTACAACTAAAACTTTTTAAATTTAAGAGAGGATGGTGTCTATCCTTTATAGGAAATGTTTCATATTTTTGTATATATTTTCTTTATCTACTATCTCAGTACTAAAAAAGTAAAATGTTTATTTATTTTTATCTGGTAAATAGTAAAAATTGCATATTATTATTTCACATTAACTTGAGCGCTAGGCTCTTTTTTACATGTTTAAAGGACTATCTTTTACCTTTTAGTTGAAAAATAGCTGAATAGTTGAAGCCCAGATTACACAAAGTCAGAGTTAAAAAAGTAAATCATCTCTTCCCCCTCTCTACCTGCTCTATATGAAGTTTCAATTAGAGAGAGACAGCCACCAAGGAAGAAGCTACGGCTGCACTAAAAAAGTAGAATTCTCTGTAAAACACCCCCCGGGTGGGCTGTACAAAAACATGTTTAATAAAATAAATATGTGTTATAAAAACAGGTAAAAAAATTAGTTTGAAAACTTTGTTGATCAAAAAACTTTATTGTTTCCTTTGAAATAGAGACCTTCATAAAGAGGACAGATCTACTTCTACCTAAACCAAACCCTGGACCCTCCCCAAGATAAAATGCCCTACATCCCCTCAGCTGATCACTTATCTCCTTAGTGCTGCAGCGGCCTCTTCCAGTGTTTACACTCTTTTCACTGATTTGCTGTTCATTGCTACCTGGGCCTGTGTCCTTAGTGAATTGGGACCATATATCAAGACTAAGTATCATCAGTATATATCTCCCTTTAAGTCAACCAGTGCTGTAAACACCAGAGGAGGCTCGGCAGTCCTATGGAGGTAAGAAACAGCTGGAGTAGGGGTTAAAGTAGTTCAACCTATGGGTGGTTGGTGGGTTAGACCTGAAAGCACTGTTTTAGAGGGCTGCAAAGGATTATGGAAAATCTATTTGAAACTCAGATAAAATTAAACTGAAATTGCTTTCTGCCTTTTAAGTTGCTGCTGTTCCTTAGAATGTTTGTGCTGTGTATGGCACATACCTACCTGTGTAGCTGAGCACTTGAATATAAAAAACTTTGGGCAAGCCTGATCAACTTGTCTTCAGCAATAGCAGCAAGAAGGCACAGGTTCAACGATTCCTATGGACTCGTCCAGTCCTGCCTGCCCTGCACTTACCGAAGCCATGTTCAACTGGATCATGGGCAATCTAGAAAAGCCAGTATATCAGAGCTCTATGATTGCTAATGACCTAATTATTATTATTATAGTGAGTGATTTACAGTTGAGGTTTCTGCAGCATGTTACCAGAAACATGTGTCAGAGAATGTCCATGTATACACAGCCTTTGTCCTTGTTTGGCTTAATCAGTGCAGAATACAAAATATCATGTCCAGATTATCTCAGAATGTCAGATTCTATTAAGCTACCTTGCTGAGCTGTTTGTGACATAATATCTTCTGTCTTTTGTTTTGGATTTTTTTTTCTTTTGGTCTTCATGCTAGGCACCCAATTTGGATAAGTGGGTATGTTTTGTGGCCTTGCTCTGATCCCTCCTGTGATTCCCTGTCTTTTTCCTCTGTTTGCTGGTGGAACCTCATCACTTCCCACCCAAGTCAGGGACTTTCCAAGTTGTAAACTTTGTTCCTTTTCTCTCTTTGCTGTCATCTCCCGCCTTAAGTCTCAGTAATACATTATATCCAGTCTGCTAACTCCAGGGCTCACAATGACACTAAAATTCATGATGGAGCAAATCCTTAGGGGAGATTCTGTGACCAAGCGCCGCTTTTACGCATTGCTGAAATTCTTCTGCACTCGGATTTCAAATCAGCTGTCTTAAAATCACTCTAGAAATAGATTGGCCCCCTTGGTGTGGTTCCTTTCAGAACTCAGATGTTCTTTCAATGTAAAGATTAAAGAGGACTAGTCACAAGAACATTATTTATTAACTATATAATGAAGGGCAAATCAATTTTTTTTCCGTGACAATGATTAGGTGAAAATATTTCAAGCAAATTGCTGCTCCATTGGCTTTAGACTCTGAAGTGATTTTATAGGTGAAAGACGTCATCATTAACATCTATAATGCCTTTTGTGTGTATCATAAACTAAGGTTACAGGAAGCCTGTTTAGCTTTTGTTACTTTACATAAGCTGGGGAGTCGGGGGCCAAACTTCACCTGACGACTGATATCTGTCAACTGCTTGACCTCAACAATCAGATTGCAGATGACCACTAAGCTTTGATTTCCTCAGCAATGGCAGTTCTATTTTTCCATCCTAACAGGCTACTTTTAATGGAAAGGAGGCAAGATTTAATTAATAAGGAGTTGGGTTGTAACTGTTACAAAGAGCAGTTTCTGATATATGGAAGTATTGCTTTCCATCACTATCCGCTACCTTTACATCATAAAACTGTCTCTTTAACTAATGAACACTGAAGCTGCCTTAAAGTATATGTATAGTCAAAACTTTTTTTTAGCTTTGGATAGAGTAGGCAAGTGTTAGAGTTCCAGTCAAGTTTGTATTGCTGTCTGTGTCTTCATTACATTGTTTAACCCTCTTAAGTCCTGGAGACCATTATTACTGAAACAGAAAGCAATGGACTAGCCAGAAATTTACAGTTATCACCAAAACAAAAGGGTAAAAGGATGAGGGTAGGAGCGTCCTGAGGCCAGGTGTCACCCGGAGCGTATACTGGGTGACCCCCCGCTGTGACATCATTGCACATGCCTGGTCAACTTTGTGACCCCCTCCTCTCTCCTGCAACTGTCAGGCTCTTGGTCCATGACCGAGTACCCGACTTTTCAGAGGGGGTGACACCAAAAAATTACTGTCAGTCATTTTGATGCCAACCCTCCATTGGTGTCACCCGGGTGTGGGCCGCAACCCCCGCAACCCCATGTGACGCCACTGGGTGAGGGTAACTCATCCTAATGGGGCAGAGACAACTGCCTAGCTCAATTTTGAGTGACTGTTATCCCTGAAAGTGAAAGAAAATAAAACATTTGGGTTGTCATTAGAACATGAATAGATGTGGATTCTTCCAATGGGGACATTAGTTTTGGTGACCCTACTGATCACCAGGGATTTCCTTCTCTTTGGAGGGATATCCTCTCGTTTTCTGTTGAGTCTTCAGGACAGGAACCAAAGGTAAGTCTCCCGCAAGACAAAGAGTAAACAATACACTGTTCCTAATATAAACACGTCCCTACTCTATCCAAAACAAGAAAAAAAAAGTTATGGCTATTTGTACACTTTAAGCATATGGCGCTTCCTCAAGTGTTTAAAATTGTGTCTATGTTTCTCCCATGCCACTTGTTTCAGTGAAAGAAGAGAGACCAGAGGAATGTTTATTTTATAAGTAATAGATACAGTACAAGTCCCTGTTTAAGGTAACAGCTGTTCAGACATCCCCAGCCACATAAAATGACCCAAACCTCTTGTTAGTTTTGTTAGCTGTATATAGATTTAGTGAGTGATGCGGTTCCAACGGTTGACCCTACCAACTCCATATCTGCTGGTCTACTTGTTTTGCAGCCTGTGTGTCAAAGTCTTTACATTTGTCCTGTTCTGTTGACCTGACATCTTAAAAGAACTAGATGTTTTTTTTTCCTCCATTGACTCCTGTTTTATGATTCCTTCTCTTTCCTTCCTCCACCGCATGGTAAAATCCACACCTCCTTTCTAACAGGTGTTTACCACGTTGCTGAAGATCTTGGAATTTCTAAACATGGACTCCAGCTTGCAGGGGAATTGGGGTGGGGGAGAAGTGTTGTGATGTGCTGGAGAATTAATAGCAATCTTCATTGTTCCAAGAAATTATTGAGGATTTTATTCTAATATGTACGCTGTATATCTAATTGATACACAACTGATCAAGTAATTTAGCATATCAGGATCAAAATTTTCTGATGGAAGAACTGTTCTTATTGTTCACAACATCCAATTCTACCTTTTTTGTGTTATCAGCACAGTATGGAAGAATAAAATGGTGCTTCTGGTTACAGCTGGCAGCAAAACAGTTCTTTCTTCAATCATATTTAATTACTAGTCCCTCAAACTCTTCTAACTTAGGGGAACAATGAGGACTGCTCTAGCTGTACGTCTAGTTTGGGGTGCCCATAAATGGTTCTAATAAATCAAGTAATTCACTTGTGACAGCCTTGCAATGCAGGTCATACAACACACCTCTCCTTGGCCTTATACCCTATCTGTCCTATAAATGTTAACTTAAAGCTATGCAAACAATTTTGCGGGGAAAGATAAAATGCAGTAGAATGGTTAAGATGCTTTTTCTGGAGAAAACACAGCTTCAGACTCCAGTGCTGGTCACCTGGCCAAACGTCTAGGCATTTGGTCACTCAATTTGGGGTTGATTTACTAAAGGCAAATAGGCTGTTTACTTTGCAAGGGAATTTGCATGTTGCAGGGAAAGTTTCACCTTAGTTTAGAGAATGTCAGGAAGCTCTGCTGATTTCCATCACCCAATCATGTGCAAGCAAAAATGCTGTTTTTTAAAAAATTTTCCTTGCGCATGATTGGGTATTCTTTGCTAAGTGAAATTTCACCACATTCGCCAAGCTAAAAGGAAAAGTGCAAATACCCTTATAATGTGAACAGTGTATTTGCCTTTAGTAAATCAACCCCTTTGTGTTCAATGAGTAGACCAGAGTTATTTTTTTGCCATGTGCCTAGCTCTGGAAGGAGCCTGGAGCTTCTTTTTTTTCCAATAAAGGTAAATATTTCAGCTCTACTGTTGCTAAGCATATGTGTCCCAGAAAGGTTGTTGACATAGCTTTTGGCATAGGTCAGCAATAACAAAAGCTCTTCTCACGATTGGAAGCACATGTAATTCTAAGCAAAAGTTTTTCTGGAAAATCACTGTGTTACCATGTGCTGAATAAAATGGAACATACCATTAAATACACTTATGCTGCATCCATCTGAGACAAGAAGTGCATTGCAGCGAGTTGTTCAGAAATGGACAGTAGCCTTTTGGTCTGTTTCTGTTTGTGATACATCTGTGTGCTTATGTCCAGCCTTGGGGCCTGGGTCGATGGGCTTTTGTTCACATCAGCTAGATTTTGCAGGCCCACACAATTCTATAAGAATACTTTAAGCTGTCCATACATGTTGAAATCTCCTTTAGATATACCTAGAAATGTGTAGCACAATGGGCATACATGATTGGATATGAATTGAATGGATTGTTTTAGTAAGTCCTTACACTAGGCAATTTTTGGTAAATCTACTGGAGATCATACCTTCACTTTGTAACATGTATGGCCAGTCTTAGAGCAGACATTCATATGAAAATCCAGCACCCATGTTTTGACTAATCTTAATTGTTCTGCCCCTACATCTGCCTGACTTTTTCCTCCCATCTTTTTTGTTTTGATGCATGCTTAGAGAAATGATTGAGGAAAATAACAGTCACAGAAAATGTCCAGCATATGAACTCCACGCAGGCTTTTGCCTTCTTTATGGTTCGTTTTGTGACCACCACCTTACTACCTGATTTTTGCTAGAGATGCTTGGATTGGTCGCATGACTGACAAAAATTGGATGTATGTGGCCAGTTTTGGTGTGAGTTGCAGCTGCACATTTTTGCATTTTGTGACTCGCAATCTACTTTGATTTGAGTTTAATTTTTAGAGAACCTTTTTATGAAGTCCAACATGAATGTGAACACTGCATAGGCAGCACAGCTCCATCATATCTTTAATACAGAAAACATTCTGTAAAGTTGTCTAAAGCTCTTGGTTGTTCATGAGTACAAACACACAGGGATTCAGGAAGGGGATGGCTATGAAATTCAAAATGTACTTTGTGTTTATTGTTGTTTTCTCTTTCCTATTTGGCATACAGTCCTCTCAAGGTGGGGGGCACCGAACTTTACTCTACGGTCATGCCATTCTTCTTAGACACTGTCACAGCGATATGGTAAGTACCAATAATTATGCTTAGTAGGGATTCCTGGCCATACTGGTCTTTCTTGTAATCAGAGTGTCAATTGGCCTAATTTGGATGGTGGTGGTCTGCATTAGCCATACTCAAAAAGGACCACAGTTTTGCGGAGCTGACCGACACAGACTGAAAATTCAGGCAGTTGTAACATCCATAGACAGAGCAGGGCAGAAGTTGTTCAGGCATGGTCAAAACATAGGTAGATGACCAAGGTGGGCAGCACCTAGGCAAGCAGAATGTTAAGGCAGGAGCCAGAGGGACAGCAGGAACTAGGGAACAGGCCAGGGAACAGTAAACAGAGTAGCAATTGGGATAATAGAAAACATAGGAGCAGTGACTGGTGCTGCAAAAAAAATCTAAAATATGCTTCAGTTTTTTTGGGGTGGGGGGATCCATATATAATCTCAAAGATTAGGGCAGAGGCCCAGGGTGCGAGTCATGGGCTACTGGGTAATAGAAAAAAGCTAGAGACAGATGTAGACTGAGCTCATACAACACATGGGTAACAGAGTGCACATAGAGACACGCATCACAGGAGCAAATAATTTTGCTCATAATATAAGGATAAGGTGAACAGTTATCCTGGCTAATAAGTATCCTTGCTGAATAAGTATTGGTTGGTTATGAGAGTTGCCACTCTATTTATATGGTGATTATAGGCTAACTGTGTCAAACTTTGCACAAATGGCTATCAGAACGACTATTTAAATCTTTATAAAGGTCAACTCTTTTCTGCTGAAATTTCTCAAATAATACGTTTTACAGTTCTGTGCAAATACGAATGTATGTTTGGAAATGTGACATTGATGGCAGTTAACTGCTTAAAGATTTGATATTTTTAGGCATTTTTCTTACTGCAAATTGTTATTTTTATACAATGTCTTACTCATTCTGTCTCTAGTATCTGTGTTGTCTTACAACATCCCGATCTTTAACTGATAAGTTGGCATTTGATGTTGGCCTACAAGAGGATGCTTCAGGTACGCTCCAATACCCACCACCAATATAAGCTAAAAGTCAAATATAAGCTAAAGTCAAACGTATACCCTATAGAGGTAAATGATGGTACTTTTTATATGTTTTGTCTAGCACAGGTATTGCAGATCAAACTTCATATACTGTAGTACAGTAATATACCTGCCTACACAATTCTAAACCTCAGGTCACATCTTTGTGACTTCAGTCCCTGATGGAGTACAACTATGTATGTGGATAGGAGACGGCACCTTCATACATCATGACTTTTCACACTCTAACATCCCTAGTTAACCGGCATGACCAGCCTTACTTCAGGTTGGGATATGCTATTTAAAAAAAAAAATGGCTGATCCAGCATTTGGTGTTACTTCAAACTGGTGTTTGATTTCCAACAACATTAGATTTCCCTGTAATCTCCTTTTAGCTACATATTAGTTTACAGTTCCATGCACTTTGTCACTGATTTCAAGTAAGCTTATTTAGTCTGCATCACTTTATGTCTTCTAATGAGCAGGAGAGGCCTGCTGGTGGACCATCCATCCGGCATCCAAACAGAGATCAGAAGGAGAGAAGGTACGAATTGGTGACGATCTGATCCTGGTCAGTGTATCCTCAGAGAGATACCTGGTAAGTTCCCAGAGCTACTTCAAACAATATTTGTTGAACATTATTTACAACATGTTGGTACTTCCTATACAGGATATTTTGTAGAGGATTTCAACGAAATAAACATTATGAAAAGGCATTTGGAAGGATAAAACTGTATACCAACAGATGTATCAATAAGCAGTTTCTGACTATAATCTGCTTTTCTTACTTGTCTCCTCCAGCACCTTTCTACTGCCAGTGGGGACCTTCAGGTTGATGCCTCATTCATGCAGACCCTCTGGAACATGAATCCAATTACCTCAGGCTGCGAAATAGCTGAAGGTAGGAACTTCCATTATTTGATTAAAAAAACAGGGGCAAGAAAAAGAAAAAAAACAACAAAAAGACAAATAACCACACAAGAAATAACTTTGGGTCCCAATGTTAAGTCCCTGCAGGCTCCAGTAATAAAAGTCCAGCCTTGCTCCTGGCCCATGTGCCCCACAGTTGGTCACCAAATCTGTCCACTATGTTTAAGCACCAATTGTAAGCTGAGGGGGGTGGGAGCAGCACTTGACTTTACTTTCTCAACTCAGTGCTGCACACAGGGGCCAGATGGCAATGCTTAAAATGTATATATGGTGCCTAACTTTAAGGTTTTCTCTAGTTGTTGTCAATGGAGCTGGCTCCTAAAAAATCACCTGCACTGGACAGACCGGCTCCTAAATTCCATGATGTTATTTCTTCAGCCCTGTTGTTGCAGATTAGAAAACCAGGGCACTCAGGGTTTTGGGGGGCTGAGATCTGGAAAGGTATGCTTCAGCACCTGAGGGTATCTGGTTTGCCTTCTGTATATAGTTAACATCTAGTTGTACATCAGCTTTTCAGTATATCAGCAGTTTGTCATCTGCTGTTTTGGCCCCATGCATTTACATCTATGACAGCAAAACACTGCATAGTGGATTAAATGGGGGTTGGACCACCAAACATTGCAATATGTAATATTAAATTGAATATTCACAGACACTGTAGACACTGAAGTACCTAATTTGTGAATGCTGTCTGTAATGCTTTTTTGCTGTCAACCCCCATGCTTGTCTTATCTTGATTACACCTAAAGTACAGTAGGGATGCTCCTTCCTATTGCTCCGGAGGAGTGAAATGTTTACACATCCATTCAAAAGCCCAACCCCAGTCACATAATTCATTTTGTTTAGGATTGTTGTTACGCAGACAGAAATAATAGCCTAATACAAGCAAAACCTACTAATAAAAATACAATCTTTGGTTATTTAAAGTAGACCTTCCATGCAAATGCAGATATACATTCCATGCAAATTTTTTGTTCAATATTTTTTTTTCTCAAAACTTCTTTGGATGGTGAGAGGCTGTTGGGAAAGTGGACCTTACATTTTTCATAGAAGGTCCATGTTGGGCTTTTCAGCATTGATGTGTGGTGTGCGTCTGGTGTTTGATAGAAATAACAGCCTAAGGGAATTTTTAGGTCTTGTGCACTCTATCTAAATCTGATCTGGAGTTTGGCTTAATGTTTTATAAGTTTCCACATGTGTATGACTGTTAGATCTTTTACACAGAAAGGGTAGTAGTTTTTTAAACTTCCATTTTAACTTATATTCAGGCAGTACTTAGTGTAATTTCCCTTTTAAAATAATATTATTCTATTTCTACAGGATTTGTAACTGGCGGAGATGTCCTCCGATTGTTCCATGGCCATATGGATGAATGTTTGACCATTTCCTCCACTGACCAAGGAGAGGAGCAACGAAGGTAAGGCATGCGCTGCATTTGGTTGTGAACAGATTAAATCTGAACTGCAGCTAACCATCCCCTTCTTTGTCTGGCTCTGCTGTCCTTAGGATTCCCCATTATGAGGGAGGGGCTGTTTGCTCTCATGCACGCTCATTGTGGAGGCTGGAACCCTTGAGAATTAGGTAAGAATCATTTTTCCATTTCTTGAGAGTAAGCTCATTTTACCTATGGTCAAGATTCTGATTATTACAACAAATAAACAACCGCATCCACTTTTTGCTGTTATTATATAAGACAAAGGTTAGAAATATATTTACAGCTTGGTGTCTTGGGAGTGCTTGTGTTTTAGCTTTCTGCAGGATATGCTTTGTGGAGTTACTTTTAAAGAGCAGATTCTATCACACACCTGAACAGATTGTTTAAAAAGTTAAAATGCTTATATAACATTCGTTCTACCTGCAAAATGATTTTAAAGCAGCGCATATTCACTAATAATCCGTTCATGTTTGCTGTGCTATACAGCTGCAAGCCAAAAGAAGGTGACAGTGCCTTTTGGAGGTTCCAAGAATGCAGCCTGTTTATCAGTTTATTGCATCTACCTGTTATTTTGGTCACTAATGCATCTTAAGGCCTCATTCACACTGCATTAACTCGGGCTACACATGCCCCCGGGAGGAACAGCTGCTACACGCAGTAGCAGCCTGTTCTTCCTTATGGGTGGACGCAGCCATACGCACACCCGAACTGCACATCCGCGTGGGTCCAATTGTCCGTACTCGGATGTAGACAGGATGGATCCTGTCTGTGTCCAAGCATGGACCCGCACGATGTGCAGTTTGGGTGTGCATATGACAGCGTATGGCCGCCTTCTCCCATAGGGAAGAGCAGGCTGCTGCGTGCAATCACACGGAGCACCTATACCTCCCGAGAATGGCTTGATATGGGCATGCATGTCGCATGGATGTGTACGACCCGAGTCAGCGTAGCGTGAATGTGGCCTAAGACACTGGTGAGGCCCTGAGTCCTTTTCTCTCTGTAAACCGACGTAAATACTTCACAGCCACTTTAAGCCGAAATTTTTAATTTTAGTTATTTTATGGCAATTTAGGCACTAGCTTTAGCTTATATCAATATAATCTCATGACATTTACAATAATATGTAAGTGAATTCAAAGGTGTTTTTATTTCTTATTAAGCGGTGTCTGTAATTCTTTAAATAGTGAGTCCACCAAAAAAAAATCACATTTTAGCTAAGTGGAACCTGGTGAGCTAAGTCATTCTCTGGCTTCTTATAAGTCTTGGAAACTCCAACAAGGAGATCTCCCTGCTATATTTCCCTACTCTGTACCTGGGAGTTTTGGGTGTTCCCACCCACCTTTGCATATTCAAGCCAGGGATGTTCAGTTATACCATTTTTTCCAGACCAAGTACGGAAACTTGTCCAAGTACTCACAGATACAATTACTGATACATTTTTGTTTAATGTCATGTGACAGTTTTTCAAAAACAATACAACCCTGGTAGTTCTCGTGAAAATGCCAAGTATTGGCACTGGTATCTGAACTGGTTTTCGAACATACCCGATTCCAGCTCCTACTGTTTCAATCTCCATAATAATAAGGTGTATTTAAAAATACAATCAGGGAGTAGCAACCTCTAATAATGACTACAGAGTTGTGTCAATATAGGAACTTAAGTGCAGAGATATCAGTGGCAGAGTTCTGGAGAGATATAAGAAATTGTCACAATATTTATTTCTCAGGCATCTACCAAAAACTGAAATTTAAGCTTTGGGTCAACTGAGGTTTTTGCTGCATTAATCTTGTTTTCATCTGCAGCTGGAGTGGGAGCCACATGAGATGGGGACTGCCATTCCGTTTACGTCATGTGACTACAGGGCGATATTTAGGTCGTGAGGAAGAAAAGGGCTTGGTGCTGTTTGACACTGAGAAAGCCAACACGAAAGCCACTGCCTTCTGCTTCCGGATTTCCAAGGTATCAGAAAGTTGTCAGCTTGTGGATTATATTTTGATTTTACATATAGTAAATAAATAAAAAAATTAATCTCCCTGTATTACAAATGTTTGTTTCTATTAGATTGGAGTTCAAACTTTGACACATCCAAACTCGTTTTCCCTTGCATGTACTTTTTGCTGTTACCTAAATACCTATTTGCCTTGCAATCATATGATACCTAATATGCAGTTTAGAGTTTAGCAGCTTGAAAATCTGTGTCTGTGTCCAAATCCTTTTGTAGACCTGGCTGATTGGCACCACAAGGTACATAGCACCGCTCAGTTATGACATGCTGAGGTGGGGAGAATTGCCCCACACTAGTCCTATTTTTTTTTATTGCTTCCAGATGTATCCGACCCTTATAGTAATGGATGGATTTTTTTCATATAAAAGAGTGTTTTTTTTCTGAAATGTCTTTAGGCTTATTCTATGGATTGCCCCTGGGAGGAGATAAGACCTCATTAGACCTGTTAGTTGGCTTTGGACACCCATGCCATAGTCAAAGAAGATCAATATTCCTATGAAAGACTGAAATATCCCTATAAAAAAACTTTTGTAACCTCAAATATTATTACCTGACTCTAATATGAAACCAAATTCAGTAATCATACTTGGTATGGTAAAATAACAAGGGTATGTTGTGGTTCTTTTGAGTTTATCTTTAATCACCCTATTGCCTGTATTGGTCTACTGAACCTGGAGTAACTAAATGGAGACATTTTCCATGACAGCCTTCCTTGCCTTGGGAGCTACAAAAGATGCCTCTAGAAAGCTACCGTGGTTCTTTGTACTACTCTCTAATACACAAACTTGATTTTTCCTTTCCTTCGTGAACAGGAAGCTTTACTTACAGCAACCCTTTCCTTTGCCAGTCTTTTCAGAAATAATTGCCAGATATTAAACAATTCACCTATAAAGAACTAACTGATATATTCATAGGGAACAAAAACTCTACTCCAGTCTGTCCCCCTAGACCCAGTTTTTTCCTTATTGTGCAATGCACTGCCATTTTGCCTTCTTGCACAGGTAAATTACTGATCACAGCCTGGATTACAAATACATCTCTGCCCTTGTTATAAGAGTCATATGACACCGCTCTCTGCATATGTCATTGGGAATGGCCACTGAGGACTTAACTCTGCACTTTAACTAAGGGCCCATTTAGATTTATGCATTGTAATGACGTGTGTCCTACTGTGATGCATTGTGGTGTCATTCATTGTAAATGGCACTCCCAGTAGTGGCCACCTTTCACATACCATGCATTGTGGTGTTCTGAAGTGGAAAAAAACTGTGTGGTAGCAGTCCATTAGTAATGAATAGTTATCCCTAATGTCACGCATGTTAATGTGTGATGGAATACATAGCGAAACACACTAGAACAGATTGCATAAGTGTGATCCACTCTATGAATCAAAAGTTGCATTGTTGTTTGACCAACTCCATTTAAAAATGCTGTCTGTTATAACTCTTTGCATTTTCACACCATTTCAGGAAAAGTTGGATGTTGCTCCTAAGAAAGACGTGGAAGGAATGGGAGCTGCGGAGATCAAATACGGCGAGTCGATGTGCTTTGTTCAACATGTGAAGAGTGCTCTCTGGCTCACATATGCTGCTGCAGATTCCAAAGTTGTTCGACTGGGGCCTTTAAAGCGCAAGGTAAGCATGAACAATACTGGGTGCATCTGTCTCTCCAGCTTTTTTTTAACATGGGCTTTATTAAACAAAACCTTTGCTGATGGATATATGGAAGCTGTTATTGTTATATTACTGGAAATGTTAGTTGTCTGATTGTAGTGGTAATCCAGAGCCTTCAATACTTCTTGAATCGCTTATCTAGTCCAAGTATACGGATCAGGAATTCTAAGTTCACTTAGAGTTTACTTACTGCATGTTTTTTTTGGATAAGGGATGGAAAAAGTATTGAAATAAGAACCAGACAGGCAACTAGCCTTTCCAAAAGTAGGCCAAGAATGGCAGCCTTCATATTTCTCTCAGTACACATTTCCTTAAAGTAGGTTAGCTTAAGTGGTTGGGAATCTAAATATCTTTTTTATGGTTTATGTTGATTTTTGCAGGCCATCTTGCATCAAGAAGGTCATATGGATGATGCATTGTCACTGTCTCGCTCACAAAGAGAGGAATCCCAAGCAGCCAGAATGATATACAGTACAGCTGGCCTTTTCAACTTATTCATTAAGTAAGTCTAATAGGGGTCAATCCAGTAGTTATAAATTCTGCATTGCTACATCACTAAATGAGAACTAAAGAGGGCATTGAACGCGGGAAGCAGTAGCAAAGCGTTCATGGTGAATGGTCATAATTCTTCAGGTCAGCTTATTATAATCTTCACACTTTATGGTGGTTTTTTGTCCATTATCCAGGGGTCTGGACAGCTTGACTGGAAAGAACAAGCCTTCAAAGCCGATCTCTCTACCCATAGACATGGTCCTTCTAACCCTGCAAGATTTGATTGGCTATTTCCAGCACCCAGAAGAGGAGCTACAACATGAGGAGAAACAGACCAAGCTACGGTCTCTTAAAAATCGGCAGAACCTCTTCCAGGAAGAAGTGAGCACTCATTAAATCATGTTTATTTACAGTCTTTTCTATTCATTTGAAAATTATGCTTGAATTCAGTTTGTGAATTATTATTTATCATTCTAACTAACTCATATCCACTATTCATAGTTACTAATTGTATTTGTTCCTCTGCAGGGAATAATTTCACTTGTCTTGGACTGTATAGACAGACTGAATGTCTATAGCACAGCTGCACACTTTGCAGAGTTTGCTGGTGAAGAAGCAGCTGAGTCCTGGAAAGAGATTGTGAACTTGCTATATGAATTACTTGGTATGTACAATTACCTCTAAATGGGAAAGTTGTTTCACTGTGCTAATGCCTGCAGAAGATCTTCATCTATTTAGTACAAAATGTCATTCCATGCTTTTGAAGAACAAATACACTTGCATTGCTAGGCTCTATCATTCCAGTGGGTCTTCTGGAGGGTGTTTTGGGTTTTAGGCCTGGCAGCTAATGCCTGTAGGGTAATGCAATTCTATATGTTCACATCTGATTCAGGGGAGTATAGCAACATGGGAAGACCTATAATTTAGGTTTAACCCATATACAATTCAGCATCTACTTTCCAGATGGAAATGTTTTATCTATCTGCACTCTATGGCTAAATGTATGTGGACACCTTCTCATCACACCTATATGAACTTGTTGGACATTCCACTCCAATACCATGGGCATTAAAAAAGAGATGGCAATCCCCCTTTCAGCTTTACCAGCTTTCACTCCTCTGGGAAGTTTTTTTAATAAGCTTTTTGAATTGTGACTGTGGGAATTTGTGCCAATTAAGCCAAAAGAGCATTTATGAGCTCAGGCACTGATGTTGCATGAAAAGACCCATCTCGTAATTGACATTTTAATCCATCCAATGGGAGTTCAATAGAGCTGAAGGCAGGAGACTTTGCAGGCTGCTGGTGTTCTTCCTTACCATGTTTGTCACACCATGTTCATATAAATATGGATATGTGCACTTGAACTCAATAATTTGGAGGGGTGTCCACATTTTTTGAGCTTATTATCTATCTATCTATCTATCTATCTATCTATCTATCTATCTATCTATCTATCTATCTATCTATCTATCTATCTATCGCTCCTTAATGGCCTGGGTAAAGTAATGAGATAGAAAATGTTACTATAGTAGTGTTAATAAAGTAAATGCAACATGTATTATAAACATCCAGTTAACCTTTGTAGTTCTGTTCAGTCAGTCTTATTTTGTGTGTACTTTGTTAAAAAAAGGGAAATATATAAATGTATAAGGATTTACATTATGGGCAAGTTCAAAACCTTAACTATAAAGTTAGCTTTTAAATGTTGGTTTGATAGCTCAAAGCGCAATGATGAAAACACTGATAAAAGTCAAAGTGCTACAAATGCATACAGCTATAGGTGGACAGAAGTCTCACTAATAATGAATAATGGCCAGAAAGACATCTACATGTCCATAGTCATACTGCCACTATACAAGGACCTTATGAGATGTTCTTCTAAACTTGGCTATTGGTTGGCACAAAGCAAGTGCCAGTCTTGTTCCCCTTTCCTCATAGAAGAAGGAATAAACAGTGCCGGTTTGCCTAGAGATTGTTCAGTATTTTGGGAACTATGTGTATTATTGATCACATCCAACAGTTGGAAGTGCTTGTTTTGGACCCCTAGGAAACTATACATTGCTTAGTCTTCAATCATGACAAGCGGTGTTCACAACCAACATGAGCAATTTATTTATATTATATTTGTTCTGCATAAATGTTATATTTCTCTTCATATTATATTGTTGTTTTTTTTATCACTCAGCGGCTCTGATAAGGGGAAATCGATCCAATTGCGCTTTGTTCTCCAATAACTTGGACTGGGTCGTCAGCAAACTGGATCGGCTGGAAGCTTCTTCAGGTAAGGGATAAAGACTTGCCATATAACATGCACTTCCTGATGCAGAACTAGTCATGCATCCAACATTCCACTTTGTTAGAGTATAAAAGCAGATGTCTAGTTCATTGGCTGGTTTCTGTTAATAGCATTAACCATTTTTCCTTTGCTTAAGACTGTAGAACCCTTTCTTTCAAGATGTCTAAAATAAGGAGTGTGTGTGTTGGCATATATAGTATCCAATTAGACTAATAGCTGGAGACTGAAAGGAAGAATCAAACCTGATTGGCTGCTGTAGGTCAATATGGGCATTTCTTATGCATGTCAATCATAAACTGGGCAAAAAATGTGACGCAAACTCAGTGAGATGAGACTACCATGAGTGAAGTCTTGGAACATTGTTAACTATGTAAAGGATCTGCAAAACACAGGAAAGAGTCTCCTGGCATCTATACCAGGGTACAATTTCTAATTGTGTTTCCTTAGTTTTTCAACGGGTTAATATCACAATCTTGCAGGCATGTTGCTGAAGTTGGCTTGTGAATATGTGTGATTAGCTGCACATCCTGTGATCTTGTGTCTGCTGAGCTGTAATAAACTGTGCTTTGTTGCCAGACACTGGATGACACCTATAGTACCTTTGACAAGTCAGAATTGTTGTCAGAATTGTTGCAGTATGATTACTGGGGTACATCCAGCTAGAAGATAATGACTGGTCATGTTCAGTTATATGATCACATAGTTAAAATAGCATTGTTTTCAGTGAGTCAGACATGACTGGTAAACGTCTACTATATCAGAAAAGAACAACGAGGCACAAGAATTGTGCATCACCGTTATACATAAAGCAGAGCTTGCTTATGAAATGAACAAATATGGCTGCCGCCATGTGCATTTAATATATAAATACAAACAAATACAACATTAAGCTGCTTACATTCACATGCATATCTATACAATATTTTCTTGAATTAACTAAAATGTAGTTGGTCTGTCTTTGTCATCCTTTAGATTTATTACATGTGGGATTTCTGTTGTTGATCTGCTCTCTCTTTCTGTTTCAGGCATTTTGGAGGTTTTGTACTGTGTACTGATTGAAAGTCCTGAAGTTCTGAATATTATAAAGGAAAATCACATCAAATCCATTATTTCTCTGCTCGATAAACATGGACGGAATCACAAGGTAATTGGCGACTTTGACATTAACCAACTTAGGGCCAGATTCACCATTAGGCACAGTGGGTGACAAGGTTAATTGTCCCAGCATAGTCATTGGCCACACATTTCTTCCTATGATTAGTAAAAATACTGGCATCTCATAGTTATTTGCACATTGTCACTATATACTATGCCAGATAAGGGGGATATATTTTGGGCCATCAAAGGTTGTGGGCCTACAGGCTCCACGGATGGAAGTCCAGTTCAGCACTTGATTTTTATTCAGCTATTAATTTCTGTCTGGGTTGTTTAAAACAACTCAAGGATCAACAAAGTCCTGGTTAGTCTATTAGAAGGTCATCGATGGGTTTACCAAGAATGACTGCACATTGTGTTGTAGCAAAGGGCATCATCATTTATCTTTGTACATGATACTACAAAACATCAAACGATCCATTTGCTTAGTGGGGTACTTAACTGTGCAAAATGCAGTAAAGAGTCTTAAAGTCCATCTCCATAATGCGCATCAGCACTTTGATGTATCAAACAAGATCTATGGTTAGGCCATCATAATAATGCTTCTTGATCCTCCCCTGCCCTAAAAGTGATCAGTATCCAGGTTTTGTTGTTCCAGTCGCCCTTATGTAACTGCGCAAATGATACATCCATCTGTGACTGAACTGCTGCAAGCTTATAATCCAACAACTGCTGTGTAATGCAGATCATTGTTGCTCTCTGCATGAACTGACACTTTTTTTTAATTTCCCCCAGGTTCTGGATGTCCTCTGCTCTCTCTGTGTGTGTAATGGGGTAGCTGTAAGATCCAATCAGAATCTTATCACGGAGAACCTGCTACCACGAAGAGAACTGCTTCTCCAGACTAGAATGATCAACTATGTCACCAGGTGATTAGCTTTCTTTGGCTTTTTAAAAGGCAAAGACCTACTGCTTTTGAAGTATCTTATTCATAATACCCAATTATACAAGGTTTGACATTTTTAATGTACTTTATATGCCAAAAATTGCATTATAGAGGGCTCTCCATAAAACAACTGCCATACATTGTTAATTGTAGGACATTTTAGGACAATTTTAGGACTAAATACCTGGTTTACTTTTCATAGCCTATCTCATTCCACACAGCATAGCCATCTTTTCCATTTCTCCCTGGGATTATTTAGGCTTGGAGAAGTGGAAAAGTTGAAAATTAGAAGTTGACTGGAAAAGTTGAACAGTATTATGGGAGGAGTTGACTAGGGAGCTGGAAAGCAGGAGGTCTAGGGAAGAGCGGAATGGACGGTTAGTGTGATATTTTGAGACAAGGTCTGAGATTTATCCAGGGGCAGAGTTGGGGATGGCTTTATAAGTGACTGTTAATATTTTGAATTTTATCCTCTGGGCGAGTGGAAGCCAGTGCAGGGAGTTGCAATAGTCAAGACGAGAGATAACAAGTGAGTGTATGAGTAGTTTTGCGGTGTCATTGGTGAGGAAGGGGCGTATTTTGGAGATGTTACGAAGGTGAAGGCAGCAGCTTATTGTCCTAAATATTCAGGTGATAGCTTTGATAGAAAGAATTAAGGAGTTAAGAAGCAGGATTGTGTTTGCCATAATGGCCCTTGTGGGCTAGTGCCTAGGACAGCAGGATTAGGGGAGTGTTATCAATCCTAAAAACCTAAAAAATGTGATAAACTGTTTTCCTACTTTGATTCTTAGTTATGGCATCTGCATAAAGAGAACTGTAGGGGGAAGGGGTGTGCAGAAGATGTTTATATGGGTCAGAAGGCTCTGTATAGTTTAAAAAGCTTAAAACATCTTTTATTTTTTGGTCTGTATAGTTGAAAGGCAGTTCTGCATATAAACCAGATGCCATGCTGCTCTAATTGCACATTCTAGCATTAGTTTTTACTAAAATAATCACATTAAAAGGGGTGGATCTAGTAGGAAAGGAAATTATTTAGTTGTGTCTAGGGCTGTTTGATGTCTATCTACAGTTCTGGCTGGAAGGAAAACTAAGTTAAAACAATGTTTGTTAAAGATTTGTCATAATATTGCAGTCATGGACCAACTGTCTCTACCTAAAGTGGACTTATGGCCACTCAAGTATTGATATAGTCTGAACAAGCAGTTAATGAGCTTTAGAACGAGCCCTCAATGGCCTTTATGGGAGCTATTTATTGTCAAATTTACAACAAAGGCGCTGAAGTCATTCTCTCAGCAGATCAGCTACCTTGCCCCCTACCTGCCAACCCAGACATATGCAAATACTTGAACCGTCTTTAGTCAGGCCACAGGTTTACAAGATTAAGCTCTTGCAAATAACAATTTTGATAAGTATAGAATATTAGAGTTGTTAAAGTTGCATCAAACTGGTGTGGTGTGGAAACTATTTCAGAAGTGGCAGGTTCTATCTTTAAGTATTAATGTTTTTAGGTGTTTATGTAAGCTACCTCTAGAAAATAATATATGCATTGTAATACCTCACTAATAATACAACTTCTTTGTATTTCAGCATGAGGCCTAATGTCTTCTTGGGCACATGTGAAGGCTCCACTCAGTTCAAGAAGTGGTATTTTGAGGTCATTGTAGATCAGGTGGAATCCTTTGTAACTGCTGAGGCTACTCACCTTCGCGTTGGTTGGGCACTGACTGAGGGCTACAGTCCTTACCCTGGTGCAGGCGAAGGCTGGGGTGCCAATGGAGTCGGTGACGATTTGCACTCCTTTGCTTTTGATGGTCTTCATCTGTGGTCAGGTAAGCCTTAGATCAGAAAATCAAATTGTGGTTTATGGATTTTATAAATACACCCATATTTCTTTTCCACAATTGTAGTCGTAAGGTCTCAGTTCCCTACAGTGAGGAGTAAGTAGACAAACGCACTGTTCTTAGAAAACAAAAGGGAACAGAGCGCCACCTCCGTGTGTAAAATCGTTTATTACAATAAATAAAACAAGGGATAAAAGTACTCACAAACAAACGTTTTCATCAGGCTTTAACAACAAACGAGAGGCCACACTGTCTGTTGACCCAACATGGTATCCCCCCGACTATGTAACACGGTAGTATCCGGTCACATTGTTCTTGCAGTTCCAAATGCTTTACTTCAGCCTTCTTAGATGGAAGGGCACATGGTTATCTGGTCAATAGGACATACTAATAAATGCTGTTGTTCTGGCTGCTTCCTTACAATTTGCCTGGTAAACACCAAAAGCAGGCTCTGTAGTATCCCAGGTCACAAAGAATCCCAGTTGGACATTTGAGCTCTCTGGTCCTCTAACCCTGGCTTAAAGCACAACTTCTACCAAGCTTCAGATGTGACCTGTGTCCCCGTGGAGCAGATTTCTGTTCTTTATGGCACCCATTACCTGTGAAGGAAGCAATGGCAAATCTCTATAATGATACCCCTATAAATTATTATTAATCAATTCAATATTTTCATGTGTGTATTTCATAACAGGTCGGGTGTGCAGGACTGTAGCCTCCCACAACCAACACTTGTTAACAGCTGATGATGTGGTCAGCTGCTGCCTGGATTTGACCGTACCAAGCATTTCATTCCGATTCAATGGGCATCCAGTACAGGGCATGTTTGAGGACTTTAACTTGGATGGCCTTTTCTTTCCAGTTGCAAGCTTCTCAGCTGGAATTAAGTAAGCAAAGAAACATTCTCTAATATTTTTAATACATTATTGACTTTGCTGCCATTCTAAAGGTTTTCTTTTTGTCTATCCTCTTCAGAATTCGCTTCCTTCTGGGAGGTCGCCATGGCGATTTCAAGTTCCTACCACCTCCAGGTTACGCCCCAGCCTATGAAGCGCTACTGCCTCGGGATCGTATGAGGGTGGAGCCAATCAAAGAATACAAGCATGACGTGGGAGAAATCCGTAATCTGTTGGGACCCACTAAATCCCTCTGCCACACCTCTTTTGTCCCCTGCCCTGTGGATACTGTACAGGTAAGAGGTTAATTCAAAGCAAAATATGTTTTAGACATGATAAATTAAAAACGTAATGGTATAGTGAATGAAAAGATGGATTTCTAAATGCAGTTTGGTCACCTTGGATCACTTATAACTTATAGGAGGAATATCCACGGTTGTGTTGGTAGTTTACCAGTAAAGTTTCTAGATATTCAGATATTTCTGTTTGCCCATTTTACCCTTTTAACTCATACCTTTCATTATTATGTTCTTTATTTTTGTTGCATTCCGTTCCTTGTGTAAGAAGATGCAACAGTCTTCTTGAGCCATCGGGACCCACCTGAGGATAAGATAAAGGGACTGAAATCCCAAATGACCTTAGTGTTGGGAAACTCATGTAGGTACCCAAACCCTGCCCAGACTCTTCAAAGATTACAAGGACTTTTCTATATGTTTGACTGTATATGTGCCTATTGGCGTACATATACAGTCAAAGCGTATCTCTTGGTTGTGTCTACGTATTTAACAAATCTTGGATATTCCTATGATGTTGTGATTGGAATGCAACTGAGGCCAAAACTTTTTTGTTTATGATAGAGTGGAGAAGTATTAGACCATCTGCATCAGGTTTTTATTGCTGTCTGTGTCCCCATAGGAAGATTTACTCTCTCTGTTTGTCCTGGTTACTGTTGTCACTGAAAGAAAATTCTAAATTTTTGGTTGTCACCAGAACAAGAATAGATGGGAAATCTTACAATAGGACACTAGTTGACCTGCTCACTACCAGGGATTTCCTTCTCTTTGGAAGGCTTTCCTCTAATTTCCTGTTGTGGTTTTCGGACTGGAAGTGAAGGGAACTCTCCACATGGGACACAGAGGAGAAAAAAAAGCTGCCAGTGGTTATAACCCTCCCTTACTCAATCCAAATATAAAAAAAGAGGTTTTGGCTTCAGTTCTACTTTAAGTCTTTGAAACGGTACAACTTATTTGGTTGTACTTTAATGTCTAAAGAAAATATGATTTAAATTATTATAGATCATACTGTATACTCTACAATAGTAGAACAAACAGGGGATAAACAGTTCTCAGAAGATAAAGGCTGGAGAGGGTGTAATAGGTGACCTTTGCAAAAATTGGGTATCATTTAAAGTCTACTCATGCACAGAAAATTCCCAATGCTCAGAATGATGTCACCTGGGCCATTGTTCTGTAGCATTATCATAGAACTGAAGCTTGCAAAATCGAAACGGAACTCCTGTTTAGGAAGTTTAGCCCGGTTCTCACATACAATCGTTTTCTCTCTGTACAGATTGTCCTTCCTCCTCACTTGGAACGAATCCGTGAAAAGTTGGCAGAGAACATACATGAACTGTGGGCCCTTACGAGGATTGAACAAGGATGGACTTATGGACCTGTATGTATTCCACTAAATTATGTTTTTTCTTTTTAAACTGAAAACCCAAATTTGCTAAAAAAAAAAAGAAGTAAAATCATTATGTTCCAGTATTGTAGGGCCTTAGACTGACATGAACTCTAAAGGAGAAAATAAACATACAGAATAAAGCTGCCGGAATATATTATATACTGTGTGAATCTGCAGTTCTTCCTGTGTTCACCGCTAGATGGCAGCTGAACTCCATAGCAAAATTATACTCTCTGGTCGCCTTCAGCATAGCTCAATCCTATTAACACTAAGGAATCCTTATAAATTACTTTTAGGTCTCAGGGAACCCCTGCTAAAAGTTAATATTGGTAAATTAGCATGAAAAGTAAGTTAAAATACATGAATAACTAAAAAAAAGAATGAGGAATACGGCATATTTTGTGTATTTGACACCCGCTCTATTGACAATTATTTTCAGCAATAATAATTAAATAAATGAAAAGTAATGAATGCCAGAAAAGAAATACAATCAGTGAAAATTTTAGCGTTCCTTAGATCAATGGTCAGTGAAGTGTCCCCTTACACCAGTGGTCAGTGGAGAAAGGCTCTCCTCGATTGCTGGTCATTTGGAGAAGGTCCACCTTACATTGGTGGCCAGTGGGAAAAATGTTCCTAACTTTGGTGGCCAATGGGAAGAATGTCCTTTTCTTTGGTGGCCAGTGGGTGGGAAGAATGCTCCTTACAATGGTGATCAGTGGGAAAAATGCTCCTCACATTTAGGTTAGTGGGAATGTGCTCCTTACAGAAAGCCAAAATCATCATTGCTGATTGGTGTCAGTGGTTACATATTTGAGGCAGACCTTGCTATTTGCTCAAGGCACCCCTAGCAACTTTTGGAGGAACCCTAAGTTTCCACAGAACCTTGGTTAAGAAAAGCTGGCACAGACTGTGCTAGCATACACTATTTATAATTATATGTATAAGAATAGCAAAGTACAATTGACACAGGTTTTGTCAAGTTCCTTTTATCTCTGACATCCTGTTTGACTTGAAGCTCCACCACACCAACATTTGTTTCTTCTTCAGATCCGGGATGACAACAAGAGACTACATCCATGTCTTCTCGATTTTCACAGTCTGCCTGAGCCAGAGAGGAACTACAACCTGCTCATGTCTGGAGAAACCTTGAAGTATGTACAGTAAACTTAAGAATAAGAACTGTGATTCAACGAAAGAGGAAATATATACTCTGCAATTGCTTATATCTCATTTTGAAGAATTGTTAGCTATCTGGCTGTAAACAATATTATCTGCAAAGTCACTGGGAAAATTCTGAATTAAAGTACATATACTATATACCTATTGTATATGCCTATGATAAAACCTACTTGCATAGATTGCTCTGCCTACAAGCAGCTCTAGGCTTCTTCTTCTAGACATAGAAGTCCTTTGTTCATCCTGTTATTATATGGGGGAGTTTATGTTTTTTACAAGTGCAAAGACATCATCATCTCCTCCTCCAGTACACAGTCCTAATGAAGGTAGTGCACCTCCCCAAAATGCAAATGCTCAGGAGCAACTGTTATGCCATGAAAAGAGTTTTAGGCTTACCATACTGTGGGGTCAACTAGAAAAAGCACTAGATTCCCCCATCCACAGTAAACTAAAATTCTCCCCCTGATGGCTGTTCCCAAACCCAGTTGATTGGCTGCAGTCATTGTTCGACTGACAATTTTTCAACCAGCTTCTTTGACAAAAGCCAATTGAAATTTGACTTTTGTCCAGCCAGGTGATACTGGTACGGCCACCCACGGATCAAAGTTTTGCTGTTTCAGCAAGAAATGAACAAAATTCGATCCAAGTATGGCAAACTTTAGGCTAGGGCTGCATTAGTGACTCTTTGCTACTAAGAGATTTAATGACTCATTGGCAGTCACCTCATAAGAAGCACACTGCAATTAAAGGGACACTAAACTCAGGAGTCTCAAATCTTAAAAATACATTCAAGTACCTAACTATTAACAAAATGTATCTTATTTGTGTATCACTCAGCTGGAGATCCTCAAATCATCTCTGAATTGGTGCTGACACTGTCCTTCCTTCTGGAGTGTGGCTTATTTTGTTCCCCATGGTCCCTATGTGTGTTGTCAAGTAGCCACCGCTCCAAGCTCACTCCCGTGATGGACTACAATCTCACATCTAGTTTAGTAATTTTTATTGAAATTATAGTCCATCACAGGAGCGAGCTTGGAGCGGTGACTACTTTAAAGTAGCCACCCTCCAGAAGGAAGGACAGTGTCAGCACCAATTCAGAGATGATTTGAGGATTTAGGCTGTGCAGCGTGCACGGCCGTATCTGGCCACTCCCGGGAAGGACAGCTGCTGTGTGTGACTTGTATGCAGCCGCCTGTTCTTCTCTATGGGAGTACGCTGCCTTACGCCGCCCAACCCTCACCCGAACTGCATATCCGTGCAGGTGTCCGTACTCATACCCAGATAGGATCGATCCTGTCTGCGTCTGAGCACAGACATCCGCACCCGCAAGGATTTGCAGTTCGGGTGAGCGTACAGTGGCGTAAGGCCACATACTCCCATAGAGAAGAAAAGACTGCTGCGTACAAATCACACGCAGCACCTGTCCTTCCCGGGAGCGCACGGTACGGCCGCGCTGACACTTTACTCTCTCAGTAGCAAAGAGATTTAATCATCAGTGTAACCCTAGCCTTACCCAACATAATAACATGCTTTAATATAACACATACGCACTATTAATTGAATAAAGGTTTACTAAATGTCTGCTTTTTTTGCCTTTTTTACATTCTATCTTCTATCCTCTTTGCAGGACACTCTTAGCTCTGGGTTGCCATGTTGGAATTGCGGATGAAAAAGCTGAAGAAAACCTGAAAAAGATAAAACTTCCCAAAACGTGAGTATCGGGTAACTGCTTCAGACTATAAGATCGCAGTGGACCCTCTGTATCTAAATGCTTCTAATAATATTTGAAATTTCTGTTGGTTTTCTTACCTGCAGTAAAAATATAACAACTTGAATTTAGTTACTATAGAATCTATTTATAATCAATTTTCATGGCCGTTTGCCCTGTGAATATGTGTGAATGTTCAATCTGTGCGGACATTTGCCAAAATTAACATTCTTTCGTTTTTTTTACAAGGCAATGTATTTTCAACAATACATTGCATTGTAAAAAAAAACTTAAAGAACGTTCAGTTTGTCCTATATCCACACAGATTGAATGTTCACAAATATTCACAGGGCCCTGCCGATATATAGTTTATAAATAGACCCCCAAGTCTTTCCTTTTTTTAGGCACTTTTAAGCAGAAACCTCAAAGCAATAATGGGTAGGGGGGTTAAAAATAGTGACATTTTTTACATTTAATTATTAAGGTACATGATGTCCAATGGATATAAACCAGCCCCCCTTGACCTTTCCCATGTCAAGCTGACACCAGCCCAGAACACCTTGGTGGACAAACTGGCAGAGAACGGGCACAATGTGTGGGCAAGAGACAGAGTACAGCAAGGATGGACATACAGCATAATGCAGGTAAAGTGCATTTAGACATAAATTGTATCTGTGGCAAGGCGCATTCAAGTATGGACATCCAAGTATTACATTTTCTTAAAATGTATTTATTACAAGTATTTGTATAGCACCCACACTTTATGCAGCGATTTACATAGTTGCACACTCACACCAGTCCCTGCCCTCAAAGAGCTTACAATCTAAAATCTCTATCTCACATGCATACATACAGGTCTGATTTAGACAGGAGCCAATTAACCTTTCAGTATGTTGTAGCACCCATCACCTTTTGTGACGTACCTACTATGCATTTAGAGATATGTCAGGGCTGTAGACAGCCTGGCTGAATTTGTAGCAGCCAGCACATGGTTAATCCCAGGTGTCCAACCTTGTCTGTACCCCCCAGGGCGGAGTGAGACTCTGACATTGTGGGACAGCCAATGAGTGACATCGTAGTATGTGTACAGGGTAGCAGCCAGTCACTGGGCTTCTAGCAGCCAGTGGTACCTGCTGAAAAGGGTACATATATGGGTGGGAGCTGCCATGTGCTTGCTCTCTTGCCTGGACCAGCCATGGATTGAGGTTGGGTCCTGTTCGGCCTGCCCCCAGGTTAGGCAGAAGCCTGGGCATTGGCTGAGTGGCTGGAAGAGAGGGTTCCTTGGAGGCCTACAGCCAGGAGAATGCCTGAAAGAAGGAAGAACCAGGACCAGTGACCTTGAAGTGCCTTGGATTAGCACGGACTTCAGAGTGGGGTCAGTGTTCTTTCATAGATGGTGGAGATGCTCTCCCTTTAAGATAGAATCCTGTGAGTCTGGCGCTAAGGAGGCCTGTGCACCTAGACCCTATACCCTCTCTCCCTAATTAGAAGTGAATAAACTGTTTAACCAGCATCCTACAACTGGAGTGGACCTCAATTTATGGGCAGCAAGAAGAGGGCGGTTAATGTTAATGGGGCAGTCGGAAATATATCCCTAGACTGACTAGATATGTACCTGTTCATCCAGTGGCTCCTTCGGGGGTGAGCGCTACACGTGGGGGCTCGTCCGGGATCCATTCTAGTTGTTTGAGCAGTTTCTGAGTATTTTTATGCTGCCGTAACCCATAGCAACCGACCCAGTAACAGTGGAATTTATGCCCCAAACTGCTATTGTTGTGTCCTGGATGTCCCTAGCAACTAAAGAGACTGTTTCTGTGATCCTGTGTGTTTCTGAACAAGAGAAATTTGATTTATTCTGAGAAAATGTAATTTCTGGACTGAGTACAGTTTCTGCTGGGAGAGAGGGGGTTAACAGACTCCAGTGAAGATGAGCAGCCTGCCAACAAGAAGGGGAGGAGTTTCTAGATGCTTCTGGCGCCCTCTAGCCCGACCACGTGAGCAGATAAGAGCGCGCTGGCAATCACGCTGCAGCTGCTGTGAGACACGTGGAGAGATGCTAGAGTGATTGCTGCCCTTGCTGTGAGAGAGAGTGAGCAAGCATGGCCGGGGATCGTTTGCCTGCAACGGAGATGCTGCCAACACTTACCTCTGACGTCATCAACCCTCCGATCTCCAGCAGCCGTGGAAGAGGCCTCCTCAACCGGCTTCTTGAAGAATCAGTACCCGGAGCGTGACCTCTACCTGCGGAGCCGCCGACGAGACCCGGTAAGACCATGGGGTTACAGGGGTAGGCGAGAGTTCCTGGGGCCCAGACCGTTTACAAGATAGCACCCGTCCTGACCACCGGGACTGTAGTTACCTCTCACGTCACCACCGCGCCCACTAGGGCAGAAGGGGGATTCAGCTCACAGTCATCCAGCACTGTCTTCCTTAGCGCGGTCTCTAAGCTGAGCACGGAGGATTGGAACGGGAGTTCCGAAGAGGAGGGTCAACCCTCGGTGTTGCCTACCACCGAGACTCAAGGGGGCCCTATGTGGTCCAAACTAGATTTCGGGGACCCAGAGTCAGAATCCGACCATGGAGAAGTCACCTTGGATGTAGTGGTCAAGCAGACTGTCCGCAAAACCACCAGCTGGCCTGATTGTCGGGAGAAGCCGAGCGCTGCTGCAACCCAGGTAGAGACCAAAAGATCCCCTGAGACACCCGTATTGGATGGATGTGAAATTTGATGTGTGTCTGTTAACCTGGAGTTATGGGAGACATATCCATCAGGACAAGGTGGTTATCAAAAGACCAGGCCCCAAGGACTTTGTTTATTTCATCACTACGATAGATAAGAAGAACCGGTCATTACTTTGCCAGACCCTAGGTTCTACTGGTGAGAAGTACCAGGACTACTGTAAAAGAAAAAAAGTTTGTAACCTGCTAAAGATGCGTACCCAGAGTGGAGAAGTTGTGGTTTACACCACTGCGAAAGATCTTCGAGTTTCTATTTCTTTAATGTTGTTCCTTTTTTTTCCTGCGTTTTTCTGAAAAAAAACGAATAATGCCCTCAAGTGGCTAAGTTTGGAACGTTCCCAAGATTTGTGCCCAGGAGTCAGGACTCTTTATGGATCACTTCTGTGTTTAGTGGCATTAATGTCGGTCGCCGAGAATAGACTGCTGATTCCTCTGCTCCTTGTACCCGGATGAGGATGATGTACAGAACTCATGCTGATGATTATTTGCCACTTTGTTCAAATAACTCTGTGCCTGGAAGTAAGGATTGCGCATACCCAATACTTCTTCCAAGAACTGATTCATTTTTTTTGGAGTAAGAACTCCGCCCTCAGATCACTTTCTAAGTATCTCCCTGCTCTCTTTGAAAAAAGAGAGTGCTAGCCAAAATATGTTGGGGACCCTTTACTACTTTTTTTGTTGTTCCCATTTACTTTTGTTGGGGAACAATAGATGTGAACTCTCATCATTACTAACTGTTTGATATATGCAGTATGTCATAGATAGATAGCATAGGATTATTGTTTAGGAATACTAATTTGCTGCTTCGGCTGAGGCAGGTGTATATAGTTCTTCAGGACTACGTGTCAAGATGGTCCCGGTGGGGACTGCAACCCATTTCATCTGTCGCTTGGATTTCGTGTCCAGAGGGTATTCCGGCTGGAATGTATGTCACCCCCTGGACCCGGTCGCTACAGTTGAGGATAGGATTGCTTGCAGTGAGAGCAGAGTTTCACTCCATAGGGAGTCAGGCTCTGGCCTCTTGTACATCAGGATGTGTATATATATATA